AAGCAATCAAGAAAGGTTTTTACAGGGCCTTGGGCCATATCTTAGGTTTTAATTTATTGGGGGGTCTTTGATGATAATAATCTCAAATCAGATTAAATCCTAAAGGTCTGTTTGATTGCAAAAATAGAATTTGGGTATAAAAAAAACGAATTCTAGGAAATTGAATTGTCTAAAAATTATTTTCTTGAAAATGGTAAATTATTGTGTTGGTATAATTTTCACGTGAAAAATGTTGAAATAAAAGTGTTTTTTGGTGTTCATTTGACTTTATTTTACATAAAAATTGTCAATTAAATTGATAAAATTTACTAGTATTAGAGATGAAATTTGTTTCTATTGCCAAAAAAAAAAATTCAAGAAAATCATCTATCTTTTGGTGTTCGTTTGACTTTATTTTACATGGAAATTATTAATTAAAAGGAAATATTTTTTTACAATAATTCTTAGAATTTTTTTCCATTGTCAACAAAAATAAATAAATACATTTGCTACAGTGGCCTAGAATCCAAAACCTGGAAAATGTTTAGGTGGCAAGAAATGGTGGAAAATGTTTCCTATCAAACACTACAAAGGTGGAAAATGTTTGAATATTTTCCTAGTTCCATAGAATTCATTTGGTATCAACCATAGCCTAAAAGTAAATCTGATCAGCAAAAAAACATTTAGTCTATGTTTGATAGCCATTTATTTTCCATGGAAAATGATTCCAATTGTAAGTTACTGTAGCGGTTTTTCTTTTTCTTTTCTTTTTTTCATTTTATTATTATTTTTTTTGTGGCGAAGGAAACAAATTCTAAGAATTATTGTAAAAAAATATTTTCTTTTAATTGACAATTTTCCTGTAAAACAAAGTTAAACGAACACCGAAAGATAGATGATTTTCTTGATTTGTTTATTTATTTATTTTTTGGCAATGAAAACAAATTTCATCCTCAATATCAATAAATTTTATCCCTTTAATTGACAATTTTCATGTAAAACAAAGTCAAACGAATACTAAAAAATAATTTTATTTCAACATTTTTCACGTGAAAAATTATACCAATCAAATACAATAATTTACAATTCCCAAAAAAATAATTTATAAGCAATTCAATTCTCTAAAATTCGTGTTTTCACTCAAATTTCATCTTTACAATCAAACAGACCATTATTTAATAAACTTTTAAACTCATCTAAACATGTTCAAAGTAACAAGTGAAAACTATTGAATGTTCAACAATGAAACAAGATCATTTGTACAGGAAAGACAAAAACATGGACCGAGTTAGGGGAACATAGTGATTGATAAAGGGGATGATCTAACCCCCACACACACAAACCCATTGGGGGTAACGCATTATTTAATTCACGTGGGACCTGCGCGATCTTTATGAGGATCGGTTATCCCGAATGTCAAACATTTTCCATCAAAGTGCATTTTCCCAAAAACATTTTTATCTGATAAAATTCAACATTTGGACAATTTAGCCAATGTTTGATGAAGATTAAAATTAAATTTTTATAAAAATTGATAAAATGTGTGGTTGAAAAGTTGTAGGATATATTAAGTCCTCATTTGAGCCTCATTATTTGTAGATTATAATGAAATGAATAGTATTTTTTTTGAAAAGTGAGTGATTGAAAAGTTTTTAATTTATGTGTAATATTATTTTATTGAAAATTGTGTGATTAAAAATAAGAGAGAAAAAAATTTAATTTAATGTAATGTGAGATAACGGGGCTCAAACAGGGGCTAAATATATAGTTAAAATTAATCATTAACTTTGACTTAAATTAAAGTTCGAATTCTAATCTTTACCAAATAGAAGCCCTTTAATATTAAGACGCAGTTAGGTATGATTTAAAATTTAGATTTTTAGAAGGTGTTTGGTAGAAATTAAAATTATATTTTTTGGTAGATTATAGTAGAAATTTTTGAAATGTGCAGTTGAAAAGTTTTGGGAGCCATGAAGGATGTTAATATTGATTGTTTGACTTTGATTTAGATTAAAATCCATACCAAACATGCTTAAATTCTAAGTCAAACTCAATAATTAATATTAGCTACACATTTTTGTGGATTTTACAATTTTTTAACTTCACATTTCATTAATTTCATCAATACTTTTTTTTTTCTAATGATCTCTTCGATACTAAATTTTTAATTTTTAATTTTTGTGTAAGTTTGATAATCCAATATGTTCAATAATTCTATTCAGTATAGGACTTCTCGTTTGATAGGATTTAAAATTAAAATTTTAATTTAATTCAAAATCAATAATTTAATATTAATTACACATTTTATTAATTTCATCATTACTTTATTCATTTTTTTTAATGATCTCTTTGATACTATTTTTTTAATTAATTAATTATTTATTTATTTTTAAAGTTTGATAATCCAATAGCCAGTTCTAATAATTCTATTCAGGACTTTTTATTTGTGCATATTTTTTCTTGGCAAAACTATAAAAATTCAGGAAAAATAAAATTATAAATCATTTTAGGAAAATGCTCTCGTTGAGAGTCGAACTCAAGACCTCCCGCTTACTAAACGGGTGCTCTAACCAACTGAGCTACGAGAGCAGGTGACTTCCTCTCATTATTTTTATAATTTTATGGGCGGTGAATATTCAACGCGATAGTTACGCTTCGTATGTTGGGCATTATCCGATGTTAGCCTACTTTGCTGTAGCAGAAAATGAATCAATTGGGAGGGAGCGCTACAATTTCATGCAGGTATCTGTTTCTTAATTAATTTTTGTATACATTTTCGTTGATTTTGTCCTTGGGTTTTTATAATGCTATTTACAATGTTTATGTTTTCGTATTTGATAATTATTTTTAAGGAACTTGGCAATTTTGTTCATTGTATTTGTTTTCATAATTTAGCCTATTCTGCGATTGGGTTTACTAATTTTACATGTTATGTTTATCTGCTTGCAGATTACCCCTAGGGGGGGGGGGGGGGTGTAATGGCATGTATTTAATTTGTGTGCTTGTATGTTCTGACTAGTTCCATATTCTGCCTTAGTAAATTTACTTATTGACCTTGTGTCTCAACTAAATAACATTAGTGGATTCTGTGGTTCCCTTGCAGATTTCCGGTATTCTAAGTCGAGAATTCACATGTTTTGTTGGTTCATGGTGCAACTTTATCCTGTATACTGATTTTGATGATATGACAAGAATAGCTAAATTGTTATAGTTGGGTCTTCCAACTATAAAACTCTCTTATAACCCTTAAAACCAATCAATAACAGGTAAAGAAGATAACCCAGTAATTTAATTGCAATCAAATGGAGCAATTACAATCAAACAACCACTGTAGAAGAGAAGAGATAAGAAGAGAGAGAATTAAGAGAGAGTTACTAGAATATTCAACCAAAATCCAGTCTACAGCCTTCCTTTGCCGGTATTTAACCAAAAAGAGAGAAGAAAACGTGTAATGGAAGAAAATGGAAAAGAGACGAGGCCGTTTCTGATTCAAAATTCAGATAGTGCCGTTAATTTCATCTTCCAGCTTCCCTGCTCTGTGATTCTTCTTACCCCAATTCCAACTGGTTCCCTGTTCTATCTGTTTCCCTTCATAACATTCGTCCCCCTTAGGACAACCTTGTCCCCAAGGTTCAGAAGATGGAGATATACCGCGAGTCAGATGCTCTAGCAGTGTGAGAATTGGGATATGTTTTTCTTCTATCGTTTTCTTCAGTAGAGATACATGAAAAAGGGGATGAATGCGCTCCAGGTGGCAGTTCCAGTTTGTAAGCAACCTTTCCTAATTTTTGAAGCACTTTGTAGGGGCCATAGTACTTGGCAGCCAGTTTCTTAAACACCATATTAGCCACCGACTGTTGAGCATATGGGTAATGTTTAAGATAAACCCAATCACCCAAATGAATTCTCATGCACACCTTTGTTTGTCAGCATCTTGTTTCATCCTGCCCTAGCTTGAGCCAGGTTTTCTTGTAGCACGTGGTCCATTTATGCCTTTCCTGTAACACATCATCCACTGAAGCAATTTGAATCTTTTGGTATTGACCTAAGGCAAGTTGTAGTAGTTTGATACCATAAAATGCCTCAAACTGATTCATCTTGATAGCAGTGTGAGGTGTGGTATTAGACCATCTTTCAGCCAGGTTAATCCACTTACTCCACTGCCTAGGGTGTTGAAAAAACCCATGCACCTCAATTACATCTCCAGGCATTGATTCAACCTTTCTGTTTGTCCATCTGTTTGGAGCTGGTAAGCAGAGCTTAACTGAAGTTTGGTTCCCATTTTTTTGAAAAATTCTTGCCAAAATTCGCTAGTTAATATTTTATCTCTGTCTGTGACTATACTCTGTAGCATGCCATGAAGTAGATGTTATCTAAGAATAACCTGGCAATGCTTGCTGCTGAGTAGGGGTGTGACAGTGGCAAGAAGTGCCCATATTTGGTGAACCTATCTACCACAACTAGGATCACATTCTTGGATGCAGATGTAGGTAGTCTCTTCACAAAATTCATAAAAATATGGCTCCAAGCATACTGTGGTTCAGGTAGAGGCTGCAACAGTCCTGGGTATGCCACATGTTTCCCTTTACTGTTGGCAGGTATCACACTCCAGAACCTCCTGCTTGATCTCCTTAACCATCCCTGGCCAGTAAAAATGCTGTTTAGCCCTGTGGATACTGGAATGGACCCCTGAGTGTCCTCCCTCTCGTGATGAGTGTATGGCTTCAATCAGCTTCTTTCTCACCCTGCCTCCAGAACCCACGTACAGTTTAGATTTAATTTAAGCAATCCATTCCTACAAGTCAAGTCAGGTTCTGACTGTTCGTTGAGGAGTAAGGCTGTGATTTTATTCTCGGCTTCTTGATCTACCTCATAGATGTCACCAATTTCGTGAATCCACATTGGTTTCATGGTAGTGACTGCAAAACATTCATCATCATTAGTGATTTCCCTTCTAGAGAGTGCATGAGCTACTTTGTTATCTATTCCTTTCTTGTATTGAATTTCATAACTAAGTCCTAGGAGTTTTGTTAGCCACTTCTGCTGCATAGGTGGTGTAATTCTTTGCTCTAATAGGTATTTAAGAGACTGGTTGTCAATCTTGATGATGAAGTGATGCCCTTCCAAATAATGTCTCCATTTCCCAATAGCTGTCAATAGAACCAACTCCTCTTTTTCATAAATGGATAATCCTAGACTTTGTCATTAATTCCTTTGCTCAGATGAGCTATGGGCTTCCTATTTCGCATCAAAATAGCTCCCATCCGTCCATGGCATTCATCAATCTCTACTATAGATGGCAAGGAGAAATCGTAGAAGTGTAGAGAGCCATACCTTAAAAGCTAGTCGTTGAAGTTAGAGAACCAAATCCTTTATAAACCATATAAAGGAAGCCTATATTTCACATCTGGGATTCAAACCCCATACATTCCACTGGAACCATGACAAACCTCTATGCTTTCGACCTTGGCACCCATACACCAACCAGGGTTTCGAGACGTGATACCTGCTCTGATACCAATGTCATAGGACTTGAGAGAGCTATATCTCAAAAGTTAGTCGTTAGAGTTGGAGAACCCAAACCTATATAAACAACACAAAGGAAGCCTATACTTCCGATGTAGGATTCAAACCCCCATAAGTTCCACTGGAACGTAACAAGAAATCAGGTAGAGCTAATACTGGTGTGGTACTCGTAGCTAGTTTTAACTCTTCAAATGCCAATTCAGCTGCTTTATTCCAATGGAATTTATCTTTTTTAAGAAGGTTAGTTAATGGCTTAGCCAAAGCTCCATTTCCTCTCACAAATCTTCTGTAGTAGCTTTTCAACCCAATAAACCCCTTAGCTGTTCGACACTGATAGGTTTAGGCCAATCCATCATTGTAGCCACTTTGTAGGGGTCTGCAGCTTTGTCCTCGGCCATGATGATATGTCCCAGATACTCTTTTATCTTCAGTTGCCCGAAGGAGCACTTGCTTCCTTTTGCATACAATTGGTGCTTTCTCAGGAGCTCCAGGACCTCAGTTACACGTTCACAGCGAGTCCTAAATCAGTGCTGTACATTAATTAATCATCAAAGAAAACAAATATTTATTTCCTGAGTTGTTTGTTAAAGACCTCATTAGGCACTGGAAAGTGGCTGGGGCATTAGTAAGCCTAAAAGGCATAATCTTGAATTCATAAAGCCCCTCATGAGTTTTGAAGGCCGTTTTATGGATATCTTCCTTTGCTACTCTTATTTGGTGATATCCTGCCCTCAGGTCTATCTTGGTAAACTACTTTGTGCCTTTCAACTCATCCAATAGCTCATCAATCAAGGGCATGGAGTACTTATCCTTGATGGCGATGTTATTCAATTGTCTATAGTCTACACAGTTTTCAGGTTCCATCATTCTTTTTAACCAACAAGACAGGAGAGGCATAGGGACTATTGCTTGGTTGGATGATTCCATTCTCCTCCATCTCTTTAACCATTCTTTCAATTTCTGCCTTTTGAACATAAGGGCACCTGTATGGCCTGAGTTTGAAGGGCTGTGGTCCTCCTTTGATTGGTATAATACCACTGCATATTTGTCTACTATGGCTTCCACTTCAGTTGGTACAAGTTCTGCCATCTTTTCAGAACTAACAGCATTGTGCTATCACTCCATAAGACTAATTTTTGAACCATTTCTTTTCCTCATCGTCAGTCATCATCTTGAATTCTTTGTAGGGCTCACAGTTTAGTTCCAACTCATTCTCTTCATTGGTAAACTTTATGCTGCCTTTACAAAAGTCAGAGATTACACGTTTGAATTGGCTTAACCAATCAACCCCCAGCACCATGTCACTCCCTCCAAACTTAGGAACCTTCAATTGGTTTTGAAACTCTAGACCTTGCATCCTCCAGGTCAGTGGATTACAGATGGCATCACTAACCTGTTTTCACTAACCAGTTTTTCTCTCCTGCCACAGTTACTATTAGTTTAACAGGTTGCATCCTGTAGTTGAGATTTTTGGCCAATTGCTCATCTATAAAACTGCTGGTGCTCCCACTCTCAATGAGCACAGATACCTTCCTTTGACATTCCTTGGAAGCCTAATAGTTTTGGATCTGTTGCTGCCTATTAAGGCATGAATTGAATTTCCGTTATCTCTTCTGATTTTTTCCCTATATCCTGCCCTTCTCTATCATCAGGTAACTCATCTTCTTCCCCTTTTGCCTCCTCATTTACTAATATAAAATTTAGCATTCGATTCTTGCACACATTGATCACGCGTGTACTTCTCATAACATTTGTAGCATAAGCCCAGTTCTCTCTTTGTTAGAAGTCTAAGGGGGTAATGGCTTTGAATTTCGGGTGGTGGTTTGGGTTCTTTGGATATGGTTTAACGTGAGGGGTTTTTTGGATAAGGTTCTCTGATACTAATCTCATAGAACTTTGGAGAGCCATACCTCAAAAGCTATCTGTTGAAGTTGGAAAACCTAAGCCTATATAAACCACACAAAAAAAAGCCCATACTTCCGATGTGGGATTCAAACTCCCATAAGTTCCACTGGAACCACGGCATTATTGCTATCTTCTGAATGGTGGAAATCTTGAAGATTTTCACAAACGATTGTATATTTGTTTACTTGTTTTGTTTGCATGGTAAATCCCTTTTCTTTTATAAAATAGAATCAATCTGTGATATATAGTAGTTTCCGAGATTCGTTGTTGATTTTGATGTTTTGGGATTTTTTTACTTCATAGCGGGGGTAGTGGATTGCTGAACAATGTTGGAAACTGAGGATTCGTGTTGGTTTGCCTGGAAGTGATTGAAATTTAGGAAAAGGCAATACAAGGTTCATATATAAACAAACACAAGGATAGGTTCCTTTGATGTTTTTATTTGATTGGTCATCTGTTTCAGATTTTCTGTTGGCAAGAAGAAATGTATCAGAAAATTGTTGATAAAGAAGTTGGGACACTTTTTGCATGATGATGTTGATTTTGATTCGATTTGTGTTTTTATTCTACATGAATCAAGTTATGTGAATTTGAAGTGATAGAATCGGATCATTGTCTGCTACGCTTTTATAACACTTCGTGCAAAGAAATGTTGCCTTTGGCGGTATTATTTTGCACAATTATGCACGCATCAAATGTAACAAATTTGTTTCTTCCTGTTTAAATTGTTTCCTTGAGTTGGTCAGATTTTAGGGATCTGGATTGAAAATAACTTTTGGCTGTGAAGCTGGTAATTTTGAAACTTCGCTCTAATTGTCAATTGCATGAAATGTTGTCAAAAACAAGATATGCTGCTCAAATATGGAGTTTTTGGGATTTGATTTCTATATAACTAGTGACTCTGAAGATAATACCTGTAACTTTTGATACTCTTGTATGCCATCTAAATATGTAACCTATTCTGAAGACGACCTATAAATCTAAAATTTTATAGAAGCTTATAGGTTTTACAAGAACCTCTTAATTTATTTTTACTTTTGATATGTGGATATTAGCTAATGATTGTCAAAAGTAATGACATTTCCTGCTCTCGTTTTGATGCATGTGCAGAAAATGCTTTTGCCCTGTGGTCTTCCACCCGAGAGAGAAGATGACTGAACTTGAGCCTACTGAGATTCTGGATACTGGAAGCTGAAAATCTTCATATGTTTGAATGTTTTGGAACTTTTTTTATTCCATGTTTGACTATCAAAATTCTATCGGGTGTATAATTTGATCTTTACGAAACATTGCCCTAGAGTGGTATCTTTGATCATATAACTTGATATTTGAATTAGGAGATCTTTGTTAATAGTTGCTTGCTTTTGCAGCTTTTGTTTTCATGGAGTGCTGAAATGTGTTCAAATTTGTGGCAAGAATCTGTACCCACTTGGTTAATAATTTATTTTACGAGGACGGTGGGTGAAACTTAATATTAATTTTGATTTATTATTATTATTATTTTTAATGATCGTGATTGTTCGAACCAACTTACGCACATCTCGATTAATCTCATGGGACCTTGAGATTTACAGTCTGGTACTTACTTCAGTAACTCTGAGGGGACTCAAATTAGTGATTATTGGGGAGTAAACCTAAGGCTTAATATTGAAATTATTTAGAAGTTGAATTTAGAGTTAGTGACAAAAATTTTGACCGTCGTGGTGGTACTTTATCTTAAGCTCACACATGCGAATTTATGTTTACTGTCAGCGAGCATTTTTAAGTAAGTCAACATTCATATTATGTGCAAAGCTATGTCACTGATCGAGCATTTCTAATACGAAAGCGTTTGATCTTGATTAATGAAAGACGAGTACTCGAGCACAAATTATTGAATGAGCAAAACACCCCTATTTGTTTTTATAGGCCATTTCACGTCAGCAAAATCGTTTTGTAAGTGTAGGTGAAGAAGAATGCTAACCCTTCTGAAAGTGACGTCACTACCAATGAGTTAAAAACACGACATGGTGAATCAAACATTAAAATGTAACAAATTCAGTTAAAAGTTTAAGTAATTAAGAAATGCCGCGTGTTGCTAATGAAAAGGGCAAAGTACTTTGATAGTAGAGCTAAGGGAGGAATCCACAATATTTCAGGGATATATGGATTTTCTGATTATAGATAGTAGATCAAACTTATAATGGGATCTTAGGCAGACAAAAGGAGGATCGAAATAAAATCGATGAAGCGGAAGAAATCCGAATGTCAAAGAGAGTAGCTAGTGTTAAGGGAATCAAGCGGCCATGCATGAATGTTACCTCAGTGCGTTGAGAAAGCAGTTCCGCAAACCTTGATAGTAAATCCTGCAATGATGATAGAAAATTGGGAGGGCAAATTTGCGAACCGGCATTTAAGAAAGCATATATTTGAAGCTATGAAAGTTGGAAGAGTTGAAAAACTCTCCCACCAACAAAGATAATACTGTAATACTGGGGAAATAGTAGTCATAAGTTCGATGAAATGAACCAAGTATAGAATTGGGGTCGCGTTGGTAAAGCTTATTCTGAGAAATGTATAATTTTGAAAAAGGCAAGTCTCTTTCTGCCCGTGATGAAATTTCAGTTGAGGGCGAGTCTCTATCCACAAATTTTGAAAAGGCGAGTCTTTTTTCGCCTATGATGAAACGTCATTTGATGATGAATCTCTATCTGCCAAGTTTGAAAAATTGGGTACAGGCGAGCCTCTTTTCGCCTATGGGAACGTTAGGGAGTGACAAGTTTCTATCTGCCAAGATTGGAAAATTTGAAGAAGGCGAGTCCCTTTCCACCTATGAATAAATTCTATTTCGTGGCAAGTATGTTTCTGCCAAAACTAAATATCCCGCGAAATGTGAAATACCATCCAAGTATGACGAGTGCCATGGATGACAATGTTTAGAGTTCATGAGTTATGATAATACTCGTTGACCTCAAAAAAATGCACCTCTAATGTGGCCAATAGATTCTAAGACCTCTCACTTCCAAGCAAATCGTATTCTTGCACATTAGGACAAATCGTTAGCCACATGTGGCCTTCTTCGGTGGGGGTGGAGCCAGCCGCGTGCACTCCGACAATGAAGTCAGTTTTGGGAAAATATATATGAGTGTGGGATGGTTTTAACGTGAGTCTCCAATATAAAAAGGGGGTCAGTATTGGGAGTAAAGAATGCAAAGAACAAAGTTACAGTATCAAAGTCTAAACTTGCATTACCTTTGGAATGACACTAAGTATAAGTTTTTATAGTAGAAGAAAATGAATAAGAGCCGTTGGATCAAGAGACACATGGCCTCATCTTGACGGCTAGGGCCTCTTGTCAAAGGTATCAATCAGCCAGGCTTGGGCTCAAGTGTATTTAATGTTATGACCATTAGCAATCATAGGCCTAATATGTAAGACTAGACTTGACTTGCTGATTGAGTTGAGCGGCCCATGCAGTGAGTTGTCACATCACCCACTTGTTACAAGATCTTGTATGAAGATCTTCCTTAAGATGCCTCTACCTTCCTCGTCTCATTCATGGGGGCTCAACCCTCCACTGGGGTTCAGCCAATAAGGGTCGACCATGGAGGCTCGGTCATGAGGGTTCGGCCAAATTGCTACTTGTGTAGAATGATGTGGAGTGCGGGCCTAAGTTCTCTTGCGGTGCAGCTGCCATTTGTTAATGCTTAGAGTCTCATTGGAAGAGGCATAACAATAATTCCTTCGTGTATGAATATTTATTTAATGCGTGAACTTGAAAGTTAGGATTGACAAAACTTAGAGCCTCATTGGAATAGGCGTAACATAAGCATTTCGCGAAATCGTTATGAGGGTAAAAAATTACTCATTAAAATGCTTAGAATATCGATCGAAATGAAAAGCACGACTTTGAATAAATAGAAAAACCAGCAGTAAATAAAATAAGCTAACAAACGATTCTATGCAAACCAGTTCAAAAGGTTCCATTACAAAAGTGGGAAAACTGAAGGAACTGATAATGTCAAGTATCTTATTATCCCTCCTCCTGCATTTTGTTTCACTACTCTCCACTTGCTTTCGAAGCATATCCAAATCATTCATCGCTTTCTCAAGCTCTTTGGCTGCAAAGTATTCTTCTGCCCTTGTCATCCGAACTTCCTTACAAAGTTTGGAAATTTTACTATATGACTTCTCAACGAAGGCATGATGATCCTTTTTAGCCTGATGTAAATCTTTGAAAGTCCTCCTAATATTGGCTAGCAAAGTAGCCTCCTTAGCAGCATATACTTGAGCCCCCTCGGCTAAATATGTTAATTTCGTTTTTTCCTTCTCAACCTCTTTAACTTTCATCTCAAGAATATCGCGCTTTTGCTCTAGAGATTGCAGTCCTTTATCCAAATCGTCAGCTCGCAGAACGCAAACTTCATATTCTACTTGTTGATCATGATGAAGTACAGCGGCTTACATAATATGAGCATCGATCAACTTTCCTTGTTGCGTTGGGGCAAGATCCTCCTCAAGTTTTTCCCTGGACATATTAAAATGCAAAAACAGACCTCGTCGCCCGAGAAGCAAAGGTGGGTAAACCATAAAGACCCACAAAATCTAATTTACACCACCGAGGAAGTTTTTATGAGCTATAAATTTTGCCTGCCCCGTCAAGAGAAATATCAAGGGCAGAAAACATTGATCACGGTATTCCTGTGATTAGTTTCATAGGCTGTTGATGCTCTTATTCTCCTTATAGCATTTAGCAAATGAAGAACTACACCTGATAGAGACTTTACTGTCATCATCGGAATTGACTTGGCTTTTGCCAGTAGAAACGATAGGACTATAACATCATAGGAATAGATTGTTCTAAAGTTACATGGCATGGGATAAATAACAATAATCCAAATCTTTGTGGAGTACTTGGAGATAACCGTTCATAGAATCTTTTAAAGAACGAAGATCTATGTAGCCGACTTTACATTAGTGTCAGGGATGGCTTTCCTGGGTTGAGACTTGAGTCAATGGACAGCATTTGTTCCTTCCGTATGCTGCAGGTTAGACTGTGAGTGCATGTTTCATACATAGGAATTGACAATATAGTAAATGAGATTATTAACTTATTCTGTCTCTCTCTCTCTCTCTCTCTTTTTTTTTTCCCTCCAAGACTTTGTAATCCTCCATATGTGCTATCAAGGCATGAAGACAAACTAGCCCTCTGGGCACATCTCTAAGTAGTAAAAGGGGAGAGTGGAGAAATCCAACTTTGCTTGAGGCTGCTGCGTCAAGGGTTCGAATCCTGAAATATGGATTTGGCTCTTGGGTAAGTGCAAGTGTACAAGCAGCCTTCCACCCTGTACCGTTGGAAGCATAACCTGCGATTTACCTCCCTCACGATTCTCCAGAGCAGGGGTGGTGGGGGACCCTTAAGATTAGGGTTTAACCTTTTAAGGCATGAAGACAAACTATTGCAAATAGGGACGCATATAGGGGGCTGGGCAGAGTTGTAGCACAGCCCATTTAAATTTTTAGTGCAAAAATACTTTTTCTATGTAATTTTTTTTTTTTATTTACACATTAGTCAACTTGTAGTCCGATCTTGGATCCGTCCCCGGTTGTAGATATGTCATTAAAAAGTTCAACAAATCGGAGATTCTGGTTTCATGATGTCTTCAATTTTTCTTCACTTGAGAGAAATTCTCTATGAATCATGGAGGTATATAAAAGAAATTTAACTGCTTGATGATTGGGCCTTAGGTTTCTTGATTCATAAACTATTAAGCACTTATTTGACTTGTTTTCTTGATTCATAAAATATTAAGCACCTGTTTGACTCCCTTTAAGATAAAATAATTTACGAGAAAAATCATGTAATACCTCGAACTTCATTTTACATAGTTGACCAATATGATTCATGCATTACTTACTATTTATATTGCCATTGCATTTGCTTTAATAGTTCGAAAATGTTCTCTTATTATGATGCATTTGATCATTGAAGTTATGATTTTTGTATGGTATTAGTCTTTGACCCTTAACCTAAGTGGTGAATCTTACATTGAGCTATGATAAAAATTTAGGTTAATTTAGACAGGGGGCGGAGCCCATTCATGTCTAGTGTGGGCATATGCCCGCACTGAACTTCTGGGCACAGCCCTTTTTTTTAAAAAGCTAAAGCCCACGCATTGGCAATGCCCAAAACCAAAAAGTGAAGAAGCCTAACAAATGCCCAATACGTCAATTTTCCAACCCAATTTTCAACTCATTGTCTCATTCCACTACAACAAAATATACTTTTACAGCGTGCGACCGCACACCGTATAAAGCAATGTCGTAAAAAGTGTTCACTTTTTACGACGTGCAATGTATGCCGTCAATGAACGTGTTGAACGCCTTAAAATACTTTTTACGGCATTCTCTTGCACGCCGTAAAAGGTCCCTTTTTTTACGGCGTACAATTGAACCTCGTAAACGTTTGAATTTTTTTTACGGCGTGCATGTAAACTTT